AAACACGTCTCACTCTAGACCGACACGGGGAAGTCCGGAAGAAGTTCCAGAAGAATGGGTGGAAGACCTACGTCTGCCCAGCCACACCTACGGCCCAGGGGAGCCGAGGGGGGATCCTTCTCGGGGTGCGATCCCACCTATCTTCATACGCGCGGGCAATGGGGGCCAAGCGTCATATCAAGCCTCTTGCCTCGGGGACCCGCTGGACCAGTTGCAGTATAAAACTCGACGGGGTGGATTTCTGGGTGGTTGCTGTATATCTGATTTCAGGTGTGGGGATGAACCAGGCAAGTCGTGATATCGTCATGGAAATCACCTCCCACGTTCGCACGCAGAAGATCCACTTCCTCATCGCGGGGGACTGGAGCGTCACTCCAGAGGATCTTGAGAAACCCATGAAGTGGCTTTCCTGGGTTGGGGGGGTCTTGGTCACACCAGCCAATACCACTTGGACCTGTTTGACTGGGCACCGCATGCTGGATTACTTTGTAGTTGATCAGCGCCTTGCTCTTGATACGTCTCTCACGGCAGTCTTGGAAGGCCCGTGGGAACCACACTCAGGCGTGGCAGGTGTTCTGGCACGCGCAGTCGCGCAGAAGGAGATTTTGGCATGCAGTCGGACCGCTCCACTCCCTAAAGAGTACCTCGGGGTGAAGCACTCTTGTGAGTGCTATTGCGACAGGGCGGGGGAGGATGAGGAGGACATGGATCTCTTCCCCACTGATCCTGTCTGTGCCCAGCATGTCAGCAAACATATTACCAGATATTATGCAATGTTGAGTAGAGCCTTGGAATTGCAGGAAACCCACAACAAGGTGGGGGCCCCATGTCCACCGAGCCGAGGTCAGTTCGCCCGCTTTGTTAGGCGACCTCTGCTCCCACCGGCACCGCAGACGGGGCTCGCCACCAGTGCCGCCAGTCGATGCCAAGTTGTTGTTGCTCGAGCGCAGGATCGCGATCATTTCTTGCGACGCCCAGGGCCGCGCGCGCAAATCTTTGCACCGCAGGCAGTGATAAGTAAAATCGTTCCCGAACCTAGATGGCCAGAGTATTTCGACAGTGAGATTAAACATGTCATTTTAGCGTATGTCACAGGCCAGTTCTCGGACATAGAGGTTTTCGAGGTCAATGTCCAGCTTGGTCCGGGTCAGACTCTTGGGGGGGGGGGGGGGGGCACTTGGAAAAGATTCATCAGCACTTCCAGAATATCGAAAATCAGGCGTCTCGGAAGGCCTTCCAGGAGTGGATTGAGGAGGACCTGAGGACAGGGGGCAAAATCTCACACGCCATCGCCAAGCAAGGGGGGGCCACTGCGACTGAAGAGCAAGACGTCATTTCCCTCCATGGAGCCCTCTCGAACGACCCCATCCTGATCATGCAGAATAAGCTCACCGACTGGAAGAGGTTCTGGAGCCCCAAAGGTCCACGGAAGTGCCCTGAGGATGCCCCCTGGCTCGTTGAGCTTCGAAGAGTCGCCCTCCAGGAGGCCGCCCAGGAGCCCGACTGGACCGAAGAAGAATTGTTTCAAGTCATGCGCAGGTATAGCCCCAGCTCGGCAGGAGGCGCTGACCCGTGGAACCCGCGGGAGCTGGATGCCCTGCCGTCGGAGGGCAGGACCGCTTTCACCGACCTGATCAACCAGGTTTGGAAGAGGCGCTGACCCGTGGAACCCGCGGGAGCTGGATGCCCTGCCGTCGGAGGGCAGGACCGCTTTCACCGACCTGATCAACCAGGTTTGGAAGACACTCAAGTTTCCATCGCAGGTCTTGACCAACATGATCCGCGCCCCCCCCCCCCACCCACCCACCCACCCACCCGCCCCGCCCCGCCCCGCCCGCCCCGCCCCACCCCGCCCCACCCCGCACACACACACGCACAAACAATGGAATAAGAAGAAACAGCAAAAAATAAACAAAACACAAAAAAAAACGTCGAACCCGACCGCCCCATTACCCGCGCCCAGAATTTCCATCGGGTCTTGGTGGAACTTGATCGGCGAGGACTCACTGAGTGGGATACTAAAAAAGCAGGCTTCTGGGGCGAGGCGGCCCGAGGCCCCTCGTGCCTCCGCGCCGCCCTTTTGGGCGAGGCGTCTGCCGAGCTGGCCGCCAGTTTATAGATTCCGCTAGCAGAGGCGCTGGTGGACATTGAGAAGTTATTTGACATTGCTTGCGCAGAATATGTATGCGGGGCTGCCATCAAGCTTGAATGCCCCACCACCCCGCTCCTGTTAACGATGATTGCCCACCAGGCCGCCAGATTTTTGTCGTCGGCGTCGACGGGGGCGTTCGTCGCCGACCTGCCCTGCCGAGAGCGCCTTGCAGGGGCGCGCGCAATCGACCTCCCTCGCCCGAGCTTCCCAATGTAATATCTAGGAAGAGATGCATTATCAGTTCCCTCGGGTACGTCTCCCCGCGCGGGTCGATGATTTAAGATTGAGAGTGTGGGGCCCCACCAAGGAAGCCCCCCAGGTTGCCCCGAAGGCCATCGAGCTCCTAGGTAAGCAGCTCGAGGCCCGCGGTTGCAAGCTCTCCTCCAAGTCCTGCGCCCTGGCGTCGGCCCCTGAACTCGGCTCTCAACTTAGCTGCAAGACTAAGGAGATGGGGTGGGCGGTGAAGACCAGCATTCAAGGGGGGGGCCTCGGCCCGGACACCACCATGGGGCTCCGCAGGCGACTTG